CAATAAGTATGTAGAAACCACGAGAAAAGTATTTCATTTCAATCTAAGTTATATTCAAACTCTTTGTTTTTGTTTTCAGGTGACTTATTGATAGAACAGCTGAATTTTTTTTTCTTTCTTCTTGCCTTCCCCTCTCTCTCTCTCTCTCTCTCTCTCTCTCTTCTTTTTCGCGATCTTCTGGCTTGAATGAGAGAATTTTTGTGGATTTTTTGTTCATTGTTCAACCACCATTTTTCTCTCACTTCGTCTCGAGTGCCATTTTTGATGTGTGTGTGTGCGTGTGCATGATCGTCGCTCTTTTTTTTTGGCTGTTGTTGTCATTTTTTTTTTCTTTGTTTGTTGGCCGTGCTAGGCAGACAGTCGCCTTCCTTCTTTTTTTTTTTCTTCAGTGTCTCTTTGTACGTATGTGTTGAGATATATTCATGTCTTAAAAAAAAACATACGGCTCTATTTTTTCTGTTCGTTGGCTTCTTTTGTTTTCCTTTTGTTTTTTTGCACATTGATAACAGACTGCGATGAAATGATTTTGAGTAAGACATATACACAAAGAGACGAAATAAAACAAACAATTTGTATGAGAAAGATACAAAAAAGCTTTTGGAAAAACAAATAATATCTTATCTTTCATTTTTAATCATGTTCTAATCAAGATATAGAATGACAAAATGAAATTTGATTAGTTGGTTACATATCATTCATAAAAAAAAATTTGCAAGTCAGATTTTCTTTTTTAATGATTAAATCTAGAATTTATAGCACGTAATATTTAATGAAAGATTATTGTCTCCAGAAATGCATATATATATATATTCATGTTGAATGAAAAGAGAAAAAAAGAGCTTTTTAACATGAAACATGTCACTTTGCAATAATGTCTAACTTAGATTTGCTTGCATGTTTAATCATCTTAAATTTACGACATTTTATATTTAATAATACTTTTAAATGCCTATCTTATTATCTGAGTTGAGTGTCAGATTTTTTTTTTAACAAATTAGTCTTTTCATGAGTAAGCAGTAGTATAAAGGTATAATTAAATGTCGTAAATTTAAGATGATTAAACATGCA